ATATCATATGGACGACCATTTAAAGTGGTGTGTAGTTCAACTATAGCAAGGTGGTTGAAAGATTCATTGACAATGGCTGGTATAGACACTAGTATATTTAAAGGCCATAGCTTTAGAGCTGCTTCAACATCCAAGGCACACGACCTTGGAGTTTCAGTTGATATAATTTTGAAGACTGCCAACTGGGCAAGAGTTGGCACATTTGCTAAGTTCTACAAAAAGGACATTTGTGATAATGGAGCGTTTGCTCGAGCTGTGTTAACGACTTAGATGGATACACTATTGAGATACTATTGTTACAGTTATTTGAATTATTGCTTGATTAAAGAATTTGAGTGCTTRTTGACTATTGTTGGTGTCAACATGGTATAAGGCGCTCAGGCAGTATACTCTTTGAAATCTGCATAATGAATCCCGCAGTGCGGAGCATTATACGAAAGAGAATATAAAATTAGACGAAGGTGACTTACCTGAAGGATAATTATGATTCTCTGAGTATAATGCGTAGCACAAGGGATTCAGGTCCCTCCCAACTACATGCAAGGAGGACCCACCCATGAGTTTCATATTAAGAAGACATGTTTTGATTTTTAAAGCGTTTTATTTTTACACTGATTACATGATTACATTTTGTTTTCGAAATCTTGGTTAGTAGCTGATTTACTGTAACGAAAGCAAAACGAGAAAAATTGAGATGTAATTCACTTTAACCAAAAAAATCATTTGAATATATTCACATACCTTCTTGCTTTTCTCCGAAAGCACGTCACGGCACGCGGCCAGGACGGCTTCGTTTAATGGACACCTGTCCACATAACCCATGACCACAACATCAATGGTGGCACTAGGAATAGAATAATGAAAACAAATTATATGGATTTCAAAATAGTTTCTCAAATAGGCTTTGAATATCTTACTGGCATTGAGGACAGTGTCCATTTCAAAAACGTAAAACGCATGGCGTGATCATCATAAATGGTTTTTCGTCATGGCAGTCTGATTTGGAATCTTTAAAATAAGAGGAAAAACACTGAAAAACAACAACACTTTTTTTAAGAACTACTACTATACCGTCACTTATGGACACATTTCCTGAGCTCGCGATCAAGCGGTCAGCGGAAGGGGGTGGGAAATGCGTAATTGCAATTGCAACTCTCTACTATATGGCCTCCCTAAATATCTGATTGATCGTCTACAAGCTGTCCAAAATGCCYGTGCTYSTCTTGTCATGCTTTCTAAAAAACATGACCACATTACACCTCTGCTTATCAATCTTCACTGGCTTCCTGTCTCCGCACGTATCAAGTTTAAAATTCTCCTTCTGACTTTTAAAGCTCTTCATGGCCTGGCTCATATTTATGTTCAAGATATACTTAAAAACTATCGTCCTTCTCGTTGTCTTCGTTCTTCGTCTCAACTGTTACTGTCTTCCAAGTCTTACAATCTTAAAAGTTATGGTTATCGTTCTTTTAGTGTTGCTGGACCTTTTCTATGGAATTCACTCCCATCTTCAATCAGAGACATTTCTTCACTTGACAATTTTAAAACTGCTCTCAAAACCATCCTTTTTATGAACAAACTTATGATCTGTAACTCTATTTTAAATTTCTTAATATCTTAATTTTTACCTTTTTATTTGCGCTTAGAAAAAGTTTTATAAGCGCTTTATAAGCTTAGATTATTATTATTATTATTATTAATTTTCGTATAAATTAAAAATCAGGGACCAAAAAAGGAGAAAAAATTAATATTCATGAACCATCATTGAGAGAGCAAGACCCGAAAAAATTTTTCCAGATCCCAAGAAAAAAAGCAAGAACAACAGTTCAAAAGTTTTTATTGAGAACGTGTTTGGAGTACAAGATGACTATAGTGTTCAGTTTTGTGAGATTTTTGTCCTTTGGTATTGCAAGAAGGCTATTTCTCCATCACTTTCAGGGGTTTCGAACGTTTCTTTGGTTTCCAAAATTCTGAAGGGGTACGCAGGGTAACAACCCAAGGAATGTCTCATGATCTGATGACCGTTCGTTTTTCACCATCGCAGTTGGGAAGAAAATAACACCTCGATAACCGAAATGAATGTTCCCAAAAGCAAGAAACGGAATGAGGTTAAAAAGGTTTTTATTTAGAAAACGAAGTTTTTGGAGTACAAGATGATTATAGTATAAGTTCTGTAATGTACTTAAGTTTTTTTTGTGATTTAAGTCAGTTCTTCAACAGATGAATAGATTTTTTACTATACGTCTATTTTATACCCTTTTTGCACTTATAGTTTTAAGAGAAACTGAGTTAAAACAGTTCTGTGACAATAGAGCAAGAAACTTTGATCATCAAACAAATTTGGTCAGTTCAGTAACTTCGTTCACTGCGAACRAGCAAAGAAAGTTTGAAAAAAAATCAAGCTTTAGTCGCAAACGGTGACAGAACCAACAAAAGTTGAGCAGAAGAACAGTCAATCTGCATATCGGTCCGTTCAGCAACAGAATGTGCGACTTTTATTGATCCTAAGCAAACATCACCGAACTTCGCTCACACTGCATAGAACTGATTTCAGGGAGATAAAACTGCGGAGAAAGAGGGAAAAAACAAACCTTTCTCTTTGAACTCGGTATTGTTTATCACGCGCAAAACTATAGCAGAAAAACTAAAAGATGAACCAAACATTTAACTCTAGCTCTCATAATTCATGTTATTGTGTATTTTGGCAAATTGAATTATTTTTCCGAGGGAAAACTTTTCTTTAACCAGCCACACTTGGAGGATATAAAATCTCTAAGAAACAAGAAGTACAACGGGTATGGATAAAAAATTTCAATAATTTCTATAGGAACACGAAATCTAAGCGCTGTTTTGAACACGAGAATCTACGACATTGTTGATCAAGTACAAACACAGGTTCAGACTTTATGACTTGATGATTTCAGACCAACAAACGGTAGAGAAAATCTTGATCTCTTTGATACAATTGTTTTCTAGCACGTGAAATTGCGGCGTGTTAAGAAATCTGCTGCACTCAATTCTTGATTCCAAGTTCTATTTCCTCAAAGTTTACAAAAGTTCGTCCAATTCAAGATTTCACAACGTTATGGTGCAGTTGCAAATACTTATAGAGCACAAAAATGTTGGAGATGTTTTGCAATAGTTTCCTAGTTGTACAACGGTTGCTCACGAACATCTATAGAATACTAATCTGTCTCCAAGAGTGCTCAACCAGATCCGATACACAAATATCCRCTCCCCAGGGGTTTTCTATCCTGGCTAGGAAACTCAAATGATTTTTAGCCTGGCTAGGGTTTAAAACCACGGCCTTTTTAGCTGGCTAATTAGGTCTGCCGTATACCTTTCCTAGCTGTCAAGTAATTTCCATGACAATAAATTGTGTCTCCGTTTACACGTTGAAACCGGCCTTTTTAAGATAAAATTCATCCTTTCCACACCTAAGGCACTCAATGAACTGGTTTGCAAAAAAACAAGTCCATTGACGACGATTCGGACTGATACAGCGCGCTGTTTAGGTTAAGTTTTTTTTGTTTGGCATTCGGTGATGTCCTTAATCGAATCGTTAAATGCTGTTTCGTGTCCAAAACTGTATGCATTTCAAACTGAATAACGTCAACTTATCTAGAAAAAAAAAACACACTTACGATTGCCTTACAGTTAAACCAACGACGCCAACCCCGAAATTTTCCATTCTCAAATTTGCATCAACAAGCTTGGATAGGTCTAAAATTTAAAAAACCGGATAACAATAGCGATCACGTGGCTATAACCGTTCAGGACTCAAAAAAGAAGGGATTTTTGAGATTCACTTGAAAGCAATCGCTCGAGAGCTGTGCACAAAAGCTCACTTCGAGTGTCA